GACACTGTTGGACTCGGTACTAGTTTGACTGCTACTAACAATACATTGAAGTACTTTTACTGAGTACTTTGTGAGAAATACTCTGTCAAAGTCCCCTCCATATAGCACATAATCTAATGCATCAGTCCGTCCCAGGCGGGAGTTTATAAACCAAAGAGTAACCGCCCTTACGGCACGCTCTGATAAGTAAAGCGAACGCACCCGCAAGGACACCTGGCCAGGGATGTGACCGTTTCAGGGGTTGACAAAATGTTCCTTAAAACCCCTAATGCTTGCTGTAATCTACGCGATTCATCTCCCTCCATCATGTTATGTTGATTTGAAATCAGAAGTTCTGAACATGAGCCCGCCCCGCTCGACCTTTTGAGCCAATCACAGCGCAAGAATGACCTGCCTTCCGTTTCAACCATACTCCTTCCGTTTCCACTATACTTTCTCTCTCACATACATACATTCTTCTCTCACATACATATATTGTCTTCACACATACATACATTCTTCACTTGCATACATATATTGTCTTCACACATACATACATTCTTCACTTGCATACATATATTGTCTTCACACATACATACATTCTTCTCTTGCATACATATATTCTCTTCAGACATGCATATTATAAAATATATGTATGTAAAAGGAGAATGTATGTATGTAAGAGTGAAAATATATGTATGTAAAAGGAGAATGTATGTATGTAAGAGTGAAAATATATGTATGTAAAAGGAGAATGTATATGCGTGAGAGGACCAGTATGAATTATGGCCTATACGGCCCCTCATATTTGAGTCAAAAGGCGCGTTCACACCGCAGTACTTTTCCACTTTAGTTCCGATATAGTTGTGTTGCGTTCACACCAAAAAAATCCGGAACAAAAATGTGTGGAGAACCTTTTTACCCCCTTTTCCGTCCCTGCTAGAGAGCAGGGACTTCGTGGGAGAAAAAGGTTCCTATTTCTGATTGGCTGGGCGGATTGCAACCACGCCCCGTAAAACTCCCAAAAAGTGTTGTGAAGCCGCCATTTTATTATCCTCGCATTAGCATTAGAATTAGCCCAGCGCACAAACGCAGAGAGACTAACTTATGGCAACACAAAAGAAAACATGGGAGCGGTGGAGATGAGGAGGTGTCAGCGTTCTGGCGATTTACTCGGAAGGCTTCAGTAGAAGCTGCTGGGAGTCCCAGCAGCTTCTACTGAAGCCAGTTCCCAACTCCGGGGACTTCCGGCCGGGGTCTTTGGGCGGCAGTATACGCTGTGAAGTTGTTTGCGGCCTGCCAGTAAACCCAAAGCAGAAGAAGAAGAAGTGACGTCAGCGGCTTCATTTGCCTAATCCTCCCTCAGGGACTTATTCCGGTGTGAACGCAATCTGTACTTAGTTCATGAGAACTAAAGAGTTCTCATGAACTAAGTTCTGATGAACCTTTGTGGGAAAAGTACTGCAGTGTGAAAGCGCCTAAGGACATTTTAGGTACAGGTATGAGTAGGGATGGGTATCGTTTGAAATTTATCGATTCCGATTTCGATTCCGGTTCTGCTTATCGATTCCGGTTCTTATCGATTCCTCGTTTCGATTCCAAAATTGTAAAATAAAGAGGTCAAACGTTTAGATAACAAAAATATATTTATTCTTAAAAGCTTTAACTGAAATTGTTACTAAAAAATATACATGCAATACAAATGTATTGCACAATAGCTGTGCTTTATTTTAGCTGAGCTATGCCTGTGGCAAGCTATTAACAGGCATTACACTGTGCCTTTTCTTTTTCTTTTTTAGTGTAGTGGAGCCTCACTTCAGAGTGTTTACCGCGACCTATCTTTGGTGTTATGAAGTGACTGAGCTCGTGAAATGTCTACGGGAGGGCGGGGGAGCATCGCTGCGGGGCAACTGTGGACCTCTGTCGCCTGTCAGCGCAATTTATATGATGCCGTTTTAAAAAAATGAAGGGCGGTGCCGGCCGTCAGCGTACGGAGCCGGCCGTCAACGGCCCGCTGACGACCGGCCGTTCTGTGATTCTCCAGGTCCGCCCTGTATTCCACCGGGTCACCGCAGCACCGCGGTGCAGACGGACCCGCTGGAATACAGGGTCTACCGCGTTTAGGAACCGTTAAGCAGAACCGAAATTGCGTATTTTGTATGGGTACCCGGTACCCGGCATTTTCTTATCGGTTCTCATCTGGAACCGAGTTTCGGTTCCAACCCTAGGTATGAGTCACATTTAAAAATTATAGTGTGAATTCAGTTGACAGCTATTTCCTTTTCTTAAAAGCTCTCTGTGAAAACTTTCTTGGATATTACCCAAGAATGTTACTAGCTGTGTTACTTTTGCTTCCATGAAATGCCAAATAGGGCTATAGAGGAAATGCAGCCATCCAAGACGAAGAAAACAACGCCAGAACTTTCATCCTTAATTCTTTCATTGCAAATAAAACAAACTGACTACTGAGACTGACAATTGCCAAGACAACATGAAACAGGTCAGCATTTGGTTAGATGAAGTGAAGTCTTGCTCACTGAGTCCTATTTATAGAGGCTTGTGTAAGCCAACAGTGGGGCTTACTGGCTGAAAACACCTGGCATGTGTTATACTAGACAACGGACTAAATAGAGAAGATATAGTCAAATGTTTCAGACAGAAACAATAAGTAACACCGAACCAACACTCTGGGGTGTTATATCATAAATATTTAACCATACTGAATATTTAGGATTCAGACAAAGCCTCACTTATCCAATCATTCAGCCAGCACTAGTCTATTTTTACAGTCACAAAATGATAGAATACCAAGAAGTAATCCCCCTGACATAACAAAAAAAGAAGGGAAACAAGCAGTGACATCCCTGTGCACTAACCAATTGTGAGAACGTATTCTGTTAAATGTATGTCCATAGCTGTTTAACACTTAAATATTACTTTTTCAGATGTATCTATCGCAAACATTTGTCTGATCTCTCTATGAACTGACCCCCAAGAAAATAAAATTGTAGGGCACGGGCAAAATGATTAATATTTCAACTAGATTGTTTCCCATAAAGAGTGGTGCAGCAATTAGTCCGTAAAGAATCATAAACGAGTGTTACTTTGTAACAAAGTTTATTTTCTGCAATCTAACCAAATCCCATTCCTTGTGGTCGAGGGATCCCATGTGATAATAACTTCTGTGTCGGCCTACATTAATACTTCATCACTGTACCATTCTTAATACAGTTTAAATCCAACATCAATTTGTTTTTATTTGGCCTGAAAAATGTGATTGTCTGTACATTATTGTTATCATAAGTGTAAATGTAAACTTAAATTAGAGATATTTCAGTGATTTAACGTCCAGCCCTCAAATGGAGACAGCCATACTTCTCAAATGAAACAGTCAGAGATATAATGAATTATATTCAGAGCGGCACAAGAAGACCTTTTATGGTCACTACGTGTCTGGACTTTGAATTAGTCTGAGCAATAACATGGTGACAGCAGCTGGGAGTATGGTTTTTTGAGTGTGGGAGGAGGTAAAGACAATCACTGGACTGAAAATGCAACACACATTGCCCAGCTTCACACTCGCCATGTAATACCTCTGACGAGATCAAATTGACCAATTTATCTGTGTTGTTCAGTGTGTCCTCTTCATTTATTCTCATAAATTACGAACACACACACACACACACACACACACACACACACACACACACACACACACACACACACACACACACACACACACACACACACACACACACACACACACACACACACACACACACACACGAGGGAGACAGGTAAAAGGAAAATAACCGTTTGTCAATCAGTTGCTGACGACACGCGGAACATGCTGATGGATACATTTTTTTAAGATGTGTTTTCATCTGAGCTAAAGCAGAGAATATAGGGTTTGTGGGATTGGTAAAGTGTCATATTTTATTATTAAACAAGTTATGAGCAATAAAACTAATGTGAAAAGTGAATCATGCAGATTTGTTAAATTTCAAAGAAGCTGTAAAGTTTCTCTAAATGGTAAATTAACTGCATTCATATCGTGCTTTTCATTTGTTGTGCGACCACTAAGAGCGCGCACACACATTCATGCAGATGCAGGGGCTGCGATAAAATACAAACTACTCTGGCACGCCATCAAGAAAAGGGGCTGTGATCCAATTGCAATTTGGGTTTCAGTATCTTGCCCAAGGACACTTTGATGCATTGGCTGCAAGGGTCTGGGAACCAATCAGCGACCCTCAGATTGTTTTGACTGATGGACCTTATTTCTCATACTGCCTGTGCTGCAGCACCTTTTTTCACCCTTTGTCTGAAACCAGAGCCCAATCTGGCGTTTCAAGAAGGGGGGGGGGAGTGTGTGGGAGAGAAATTCCCTCTGGAGGAAACACAGGGATTGTAGCCTTTACAGACATGCACAAAAACCTTTATAACACACTACAGGGAAAGGAACACACAAAGAGCATAATAGGGCCTCTTTAAATTGGGTTTTTCAGCAGCTGATTAACCTTTACATAATTCTACCAGAGTTTCCAATATGTTGCTGCCTACTGCTTGGTATGCAACATAAATTAGCATTAGAAGCAAGTAAAGAGGATACTTGATGAATTACACCAAACATCTAAATGATCTTCTTACCTGGCACCTAGATATGTAGCTGAAATTAAAAAAATGGCTATAAAATAAAGTTTTAAAGAGAATTACGACTGTGCTGCCCTTGTGGAGAGAGAAGGGTTAAGCATATATACTGACAAGCAGATGGTCTGTAATTCGATTTCTTTTTTTCTTTTAACGCAGAGCAGCGCAGCTAGATAATATGAATAAATGATTCATAGTCACCAGTGACACCAGCAGATGTTCTTTTGGAAATGAAACAGATTTACATAAGTCAAAGATTCATAAAAGACCACCACTACATGAAGTGGCCATTATAAATCATATTGATGTTTCTCATTTGATGGGTTTAATGCTAGGACTTTTACTGAATAAAACATCTTCAATTTTCTTACCTTGTTTTGTTAGTGCTTCTCTAAGGGCAGGTGTAATCATCTCTCTTCTTTCCGCTTCATCTTCAATCTTCTTCAGTCCATTCACCTTGGATAGCTTCACCATCAGGCCGTCTCCACCCTCCTCTTTGCTCTGCCGCAGACACAAAACTCTGAGTCACTAATTGTTTATGACCAAGATGGGTAAAATGCAGCTCTGGCGTCTGTCACAACTATAGAATCATAGACTATAAAGGTATACGTTTTATGCGGAGGATAAACCAATTGACTGCTCATTCAGAAAACACTAGTAATGTTTCAGTCAACACAACCATGCATAATTTTGAAATGCATTTAACAAGAAAATCATACATTTAAAAAAAAGGCTGCCGTCACAATAGAACTATTAACAAAGCACTTATATACTAATAAAGGGCTGGCTTACCTAAAGCCAGTTGAGTAGCACTTGAAATGTTTTGGCTCTATGAAACCTGATGTACTTATATGATTCTGTTTTCTTCAAGTTTGTATTTTGTTGGTCGAACGCACTTATTGTAAGTCACTTTGGATAAAAGCGTCAGCTAAATGCAATGTAATGTAATGTAATGTAATGTAATGTAATGTAATGTCACAAGAAGTGGCCCAAAACTAATTATTTTTTGCATATTTGACACTGACATCTGTTTTCATTTTCCCTAAATCTCATGGAATGTGGGGAATGTTTTTTTTGCGATGCAACCTCAGTTTGAAACTATCGGAACTAATGCGATTCTGATGTCATAAAATCAATCAATCAAACTTTATTTATATAGAATTTCATACAAAAAGGTAACAAGGTAAAACACCATCCACAAATGCATAGTGCAAACATAAATTAAATTAACACCACTCACTCCCCCTGCCAGTTTTCGTTTTATATATGCATGGTATTCCCCTGTCAGGTGTGGAAAGTTGTCTTGTGGCTCAAAGTACTTTACCAAATAGTTGAAGCTTAATTTATATATTTTTCATCAACATTCAAATTATAATTTTAGGTTGATGACGTCCAGGGGCGGCGGGTGCTGTAGGCTTGGGAAGGCTAAGCCTTCCCAAATATTTGTGTCACTGCATCCTGGTAAAATACAAATATAATGTATAATGTCTGTGTCTTTGACATTAGCGCTGCTAGCCACCTGTGCCCTGTACTACGAAGCCAGTTCAACAGACCCTGGATATGTTTGAGTAACAAACAAACTAACAACAACAAACTAACAAACGAGATCTCGCTAAGCGGTTCTACGACGCTGGTTATCAACTCGGTAAATCCAGCCAGGGTTTCTCTCTCCAGCTGAGAGCGCGTTCACGTGAAAGGGGCGGGGTTAGCTACATTTGACCAATCACAAACAGGGATAAGTGTACTGACAGCGCAGCATCATACTTCATTAATGAAAAGTAAACTAATATTAGACAAATATGAGCTTTAAACATCCATGATGACTTAAACATATAATCCAGGATACAAGCCACAGAGTTGCACCTGCAAGGTGAATACAGAACAACTGGTTAAAAAATAACTAGGCCTACAGAGTGTTTGAAAGCGTATAGTTTTATGATATCACTGCCCCGTCTAAGACACGAGTGGATCTGACTTTAATTACATTTGACTCGAGTGTTTCGTCAACATAATGTGTTGCTTAAAATAATACTTCTGCATACAGTATGTGACACTGTAAGTGTTGCACGGTCAGATACGGCTGGAGAAGCTGACTCAGATAAGGAAATATATGATATATTATGATATGATATGATCAATGATCTGATTGATGATGTAATGATAAGTGCGACACGTCTGCGTCTTCTCTGCATACGGCAGTTTAAACTGTATTTCCTTTATCCTGTAATATGACTTGAGAGATTTAAACTCCGCACACTGAGTTGATCTCTTTTCTATAGACGCCGGAGGCGGGCAGCGTCAGGTAAAAAAAGTTATTTAGCCTTCCCAAACCTGAGCCTCACGCGCCGCCTATGATGACGTCATAAAAATATACTGTCAAACGTTCTATGCTTCCTTCGAATACCCCAAAGAACCTTATGTAAAAAAAAAGATTGACCAACATGATGATTGCCTGTCTGCAAAAAGTTGTTATGGAATTGTGCAGGAATGAGTCCTACAACCTGAAATGAGTTGGTCACCATTGCCAGTTCCCTCCGCCCAAAGTCAACAGTTTTAGAAAGTGACTTTGGTTAAATGCCTATCCTACGAAATAAAATGCATCAGAACTTGTAATGTCGGAAGCATTGATGGGGCTTAAAAACAGCTTTCTAACAAATTACTAAATGAGACTAAACGTCTCACATCGGACCTTAGCCGCCTTTAGCTTAGCGGTTGTGATGCACAGCCATGCAACTGTGATGTAGTTAACTTAGTTCCTATCGTTATCCTTCCAGGTCAACCTCAAAGTCCGCCATAACCGCAACACTCTACGGCCATTTGCTTAGCCAGGGCTCTATGTGCAAACCAAGGTTTTCTTTTCAGTAAACCCTTAAATCACAAAGCTATCTGACTGTGAGGAGATACTCGCAAAATGTGCCAATAATTGTATTGGACTTTCATTTGTAGACTTTTAAATTTGCTTTATATCCAAACCGGGGCTGAATATTCTGAAGCCTGCAATTTAAACTTCATAATGGGGTTCTTCGTTCTTAGCCAGCAGAAATGCCAACCTTTACTTACTGCATCCGTGACAGGCGGGATTCTGACAGCATACGCAATATGTAGCCAACAGTGCTACAATCTGTCCCTCTGGTGTTTCCGTGCAGCCATAGCCATTCATTTGGCCCCAGGCTCTGCTTCCCACTGTTCGGCTTTACCCTCGCTTGAGGGATCTCAGACATTCAGTCATGCCAGGGCCTGTCTGGACTAACAGAACTGGGACATCTCCCAGCACCGGGTTGTGCTCTGAAACCACAACACCACATGGGACTGATACAGACAGACAGTGCCGTGATAACACACTGAGTGAGCAGGTGACAACGGGACAAACAGAGAGACCTTTATTTTGGAGAGGGAGCACAAAAGAGGAAGATAGGGTATAAAAAGAGAAAGACAGAAAAACAAGACCTAAATATGTTTAATACACTGGAGATAGTTGAAGACATGTGTAACCCAAGTCACCCTTGCACCAGGATGCCTTTAAGGCATAAGTTAATACAAACATGTTAGCATATCAGTATTGTAAGATAATACATCTTGTAAAACATATCTGACAATAATCATTATTTTACTATTACATATTGAGTTTGACACAAGGATTTGCTTGGTTTCTTAGTCTTTTCTTAAGGGGTTTCATTTGGATTTATAAATTGTGAATAATAGTAGATTAAAAGTACAGTAATCATAATGAATAAGAACGTTTTTAATTGAGATTTTAAGAATATTATCATATGCTCAAAATGGACTTGTAGTCATTTTTTCTAAGGGACTATTATTACTTTAAGTGAGTGCTCCCTAGCCATGTTATTCAGTTACGTGTAGTGGGAGCTAGATTACCTGTGGAGTGAATGATTTCTTACCGGGTCCTGTCATTTTTTTTTTTTTTAAATGTGGATTTAACTGCTTGTTACACATGTAGAATAATACCGTATATGTTCGTGTTTAGTCCAGATAATGTGTTAATACAACATCAGATAGACACGTGTAGGTTGTGACGAACTACAGATAGACCGCATTTCTGCAGTTACACATGTCGAAAGTAATGTCTGGTGAAATGGCGGTGGTGGTCATCTATTTAATATGTCCCTTAATGAAGTCGACTATGGAATTTGACTGACACCCTACTTAAAGATATATGGCATGCAACAATTAAAGGTGACCTATCATGCTATATTTGAACAATATATTGTAGGGCCATACCTATATAAAGTATATAAATATAGTTTTTTTTTCAAAACACCAAACAGATCCTGCATTTTAGCCATGCCTCATTTCGCTCTATATGCTCTTTCCAGCGCTGTTTTTGCAGGGGGCTGATTCTGTGAGCTGCAGCTAACCACGCCCCCCTGCAGGAGAGGGGAGCGTGCTTTGAGATCAGCTGCTGGGCTGCAGTGGGGAGAAGAGGGGGACAAAAAGAGATCTCCGTCCTCCGTGTTTTATTCTTATAGAAGTAAGAAGAGAAGTAACGGGGCAGAAACCCTCCTTTTTACACAGCGGTCCAGACATAGACATCAAACGGTGACACATATTCAGTTACCAGTTACTTTGGCATTAGGGCAGGGATATCTAGATTAGGGGTCGGGGCCGATATTCCGCATTTGACCGATTATCGGTATCGGCCTTTTTTTTATCAAATTGCCGATAACACTTTGGCTCTGATGCGGCCGTTTCTCTGGCTGCAGTCACCACTCTGTGTACACGAGCAATTTTCCGCCCACAGCGCTATCTGATAGGCTATTACTGAAGATTTCCCTTTTAGTAGTTTGCAAAAACATTAGCTAGCACTAGTGTTTTGCAGTTGCTAGCAGCTTATTGGGATTTTATGCTAGATAGACAGATCTAATAAATTAAGCATATTGTTAGTTAAGCATGTCAGCCTGCAGCCCCACTTCTTGTCTCTCTAACTCATTGCAGATGACTGCACTAAAGAATAGGGCAGAGAGGAAACCAGTTGTAAGATGTTTAAAAGTTAATTAAACATAATATATGCTTAAATGCATTTCAAAGAAGTTGTGTTGGAGTTTGTGTTATTCTACATTTTGACACCAAGATTTTCTGATTTTACTGCAAATGTATATCGGTTCCAAATATCGGTTATCGGTCTCCTTGATTACTAATAATCGGTATCGGTATCGGCCTTGAAAAAGCCATATCGGTCGATCCCCAATCTAGATACTTTCCAAGGTTTGACATAATGAATTGTGCTACTTTTAAAGCAAGCAACGATGTTTTCAAATCTGTAATAAAAAAACTCCTCAAAAACGCTATCTAAGCAGTTCCTGCCGTTGCTACGTTAGTTCAAACAGTAACAACGGACAATTTTTCTTAGCGGATGCATGTCAATTTAAATCAATAAAATCATTTTCTAAATCCATAAAAGCATTTCAATTAATATTGGGAATAACACCTTCATGCCGATCTAGATCCCTCCGCTTCGCGTCGGGCTCCTGATCAGCCTGTCG